GGCCTGAGGTGACCCAACACTGGAGCCTACCTGGCTCTTTGGTGGACTCTGGGAGGGCTCATGCCAAGTAGTACTTCCCAGAACTTCTGCTGCCAGTGTCTTTGTCCCCACCGTGAGCCACAGCCACCCCTGCCTCTGCAGGAGACCCTCCAACACTAACAGGTAGGTCTGGTTCAGTCTCCTATGGGGTCACTGCTTCTTCCCCTGGGTCCCGATGAGCACACTACTTTGTGTGTGCCCTCCAAGAGTGGAGTCTCTGTTTCCCCCAGTCCTGTCGAAGTCCTGCAGTCAAATCCCGCTAGCCTTCAAAGTCTGATTCTCTAGGAATTCCTCTTCCTGTTGCCGGACCCCCAGGTTGGGAAGCCTGATGTGGGGCTCAGAACCTTCACTCCAGTTGGGTGGACTTCTGTGGTATAAGTGCTCTCCAGTTTGTGAGTCACCCACATGGCAGTTATGGGATTTGATTTTATTGTGATTGCGCCCCTCCTGCTGTCTCACTGTGGCTCTGCTTTGTCTTTGGATGTGGGGTATCTTTTTTGGTGAGTTCTAGTGTCTTCCCGTCAATGATTGTTGAACAGTTAGTTGTGATTCCAGTGCTCTCGCAAGAGGGAGTGAGCGCACGTCCTTCTACTCCGCCATCTTGAACCACTTTCCCCGCCAAGATGTTTTAAATGTGGAATAGTAACATTCCCTTTCCCCCTTATCAATCCTTCATAACTTCACTGAAGCTGATCAGTTATTTAACCTTGCTCATTCAATGTCAAATGAGAAACCTAATTATATACATTTTCTTGTAAAGCTACTTTCAAAAACCTCTCTTGATAGCTAATATTTTAGCAAAAAAAAAATATTGGATGCATTCTGTAAATGAGGAGAAGGTATAAATAGTACTTAGAGGGACTTCCCTGGTGGTCCAGTGATTAGGACTTCCCCTTCCAAAGCAGGGAGTGTGGGTTCAATCCCTGGTTAGAGAGCTAAGATCCCACATGCCTCTCGGCCAAGAAAACCAAAACATAAAACAGAAGCAATATTGTAACAAATTCAATAAAGACTTTAATAAATAAATAAATCGTACTTAGATCCCAAGAGTACTGTATTTACTACACTGATACATGTGCTTCCATCAAATCCTTTTCAAGTATCTCCTTTTATTCATAAGGAGGAGAAAAGAGCAGTTATAATGTTAAGCCCAAAAGGATGCTGAAGGAAACCTAGACGAGAGATGCCAGGTCAAGCTAGGGGAAGGCTGGCCTTCTTAGTACGTGTTTACAACTAGTGTTCCTCCTTTATCTGTGGCAGCTGTAAATGCAGAGGACCCTCCAGAGTCTAGGAGAATAAGAAAGGTTATCTTTGGCATCATCCCACGTTTTTGAACCTCTCCCCAACCTTTTCCCCTGTTCCCTAATGTACCCAGTATCCTCCTACTGTCCTTTGCCCAAGATACTTCCTTTTTAACCAAAACCTTGATTCTTTGAGTATGTAGTAGCATTTCTTAAAATGAGATCATCAGAGCAACCTTTGTTTAATAGAAAGCTGTAATGAAACAACTAATTGAAGATGACAACTTTAAAGTGTAGTTTTGTTAGCCAAAGGTATGTGTTATATTTGGTTCGTAGGATATATCTGGAAATAGGGAAAGCCTGCTATTTAGTAATTTAGTTAAAATGTAAATGTTATCACAGCGTATGTTGATATGTCTCAGAGTGTGCTTTCATTGTACTCAGGTTTTGAAATTTGAGATCCATTGTAGTTAAATATTGTCACTGGAACTTCCAGAGAGATAAATCTATTTGTCTTACTACACTGCCCACTCCTTGAAGACAGATACTATATCTAATATGTCAGTTTCTCACAAAATACCTACCCTGTGTCTTTTAAGTGAAAATATTTGTTGAAGAAAGTAAGGACAGGATTCTGGTCATCTCCAAATCAGAGTCTCCAAAGTGCCCTCATTATAACTCAGATCTTAGACCTGCTCTTTCCACCATCCTGCAAGTCCATATTTGCAAGTACGTGTTGGACATCTACACCTTAAGCACTTTAAACTTTACATGCCTAAAACTCAACTCAATTTCTTTTCATTCAAATCTGTATATTTTCTTCTGCAATGGAAAAACACCATTCTAGGCTCCAGAATCTGCCTCCAAGTGTCAACGGGACCCTCTACAATTGCCTTTGTATCCTTTCTGTCTTCGTTGTCCTTCTTGTTATTGCATCTGCCCTAGCTCAAGTCCTTGTTACCTCTTCCCAGTGACTGGCATAACTTTTCTTCTAATTCCAGTGCCTTCTTTGCATGGTCCCATTTTAAACATTGCCAGAGCCATCTTGTAAGGCATAGTTCTAATCTAGTTTCATCCCTGCTCTTTACAACCTTCATTGGCTTCCGAGTGGCTTGGTGTGGAACACTTTTCCTCAGGTATCATACACTGCAGGTAACCCCAACCCAACCTTTCTCTGTTCACATCATTTTGTTTTTCTTCATCCTTTCCCCCACCTCCATTTCTGCCTATTTATCCAAGACTTCTCTGTAACAGTTGATCCTAGGCCTTCTCTCTGTTCCTCCTTAGACCTACTGTCTCCTTCCTCTATGCTTCCGTAGCCTTTAGCTCCTAAACAGACTTTTTTATGGTGCTTATCACATCCTAGCCTTGAGACCAACAACTGTATCTTGTTCATTTGAGATTCCTCCTCAGCATCTGGCAGAGTGCCTTGCATGAACTGGACACCCAGTATTTGGTGAGTTAAATTAATTCAAATGGACTTTTTTTTTTTGAATGCCTCTAATACACAAATCATTATGGAGCCTATGCCACTTTTAATGTTATTTTCTAATGGAAATTTTCTAGTAGGATTTCTGTTTTGTTTTAAGATAAACGTAGTAGTAAATTTTCAAAAAGCCTCAATATCAAATCCCTCTCTTTTTTGGGGGGGTTCTTTTATATGAGTTGGTCATACAGCATGTTAAGAACCAATCTTGAAATAGTTTTTTTTTTTTTTTTTTTTTTTTTTTTTTGCGGTACGCGGGCCTCTCACTGTGCGGCCTCTCCCGTTGCGGAGCACAGGCTCCGGATGCGCAGGCTCAGTGGCCATGGCTCACGGGCCCAGCCGCTCCGCGGCATGTGGGATCTTCCCGGACTGGGGCACGAACCCGTGTCCCCTGCATCGGCAGGCGGACTCTCAACCGCTGCGCCACCAGGGAAGCCTGAAATACTATTTTTTTAAATGACAAATTTATAGAAACACTTTTTACTTAAAATGATAATATAGTTTGTATCTTATTGTCCACATATGTAGATCCTTTATAAATAAAATATTAGCACTGTAAATAATGTTAATATTATATTTATACACAATAAATTTACTAAATCTACTATTGGTGTGATGATGTCTTTTTTGTTTGTTTGTTTGCAGTACGCGGGCTTCTCACTGTTGTGGCCTCTCCCGTTGCGGAGCACAGGCTCCGGACGCACAGGCTCAGCAGCCATGCTCACGGGCCCAGCCGCTCCGCAGCATGTGGGATCTTCCCGGACCGGGGCATAAACCTGAGTCCCCTGCACCAGCAGGCGGACTCTCAACCACTGTGCCACCAGGGAAGCCCCTAAACCATAATTTTTTATAGTTTAAAAAATTTAAAGATGAACCACACTGACCATGAACCACATATTCAAAGATGAACCACACTGACCATGAACCACACATTCAAAGATGAACCACACTGTCCTGTTTTCCTGAATCATAATTAGGGGAAGCTCTTTCTCACCCACAAAAGATACTCCCCAAATGGCATATGAGGCACTAAGAATAGAGGAAAGGTCTCAGATTGCCTTTTCCCATTGGACCTATAGCTTTTGTCTTTGGGACACGCTTAACGATTTGATCCCAAATTTGGGTGGACGGAGGAGGGGCTGCCTTAAAACCACCAAACACACGACAAACGGTACTAAAAGGAACAGGGAGACTTCCAGAGAATGAGGCATAGAGCATATTTTTACTTGTTAGCGGTTTCTGCTTGCCCCTTTTCTTTGTCCAGCCGGCTAGTTCCAGAGGGAAATGAGAGAGGAGATGTTCTCCTTACCAGTGCACTTTTGTTTTCCCTGACTTGGGTTTCTGGCCTGAATCCGTGACTGCTTTTCTAGTGCCAATCAAAACTAAAAGACATTTTGAGGACCCCCTTCTCTTAACATCTAAACCACACAGTGCTTTGCACACAGGGCAGCCCTGGCTGCCACACCTCGGTGCCTCAGGAGCCACTATCAGAACGTGAAGTTCCATCAATGCCTCATTTCTCGAATCTTCATTGACCATTAGGCACTGTCCTATAAGCTTGGGAATACACCGCTGAATGAAACAGACTAAAGCCAGTCTTCGGAAGCTTTCATTCTAAGTGATATTAAATTCTAGCTCCATTTAGCCCTTATGCTTATTTACTCACAAGACTTTATAAGTAAAACTTAGCCTTACTATAGAGGACTATGCCCCAGCTTGTTTTATTTAAGGTTATTTAAAATACTTTATCGGGATCTACCCAGTTTTGTTAGTCCTCTAATAAGCCGTTTAGTCCAAGCTAAGAGCCTGAAACAGAGCCCACTTCACCACAAATTAGAAACCGAACTGTCTAAAACTGATTGGGTTATCTATCCTGGCTCAAATCGGAACAGTCTCAAAACTTCGTTTAACGACCGCCTTTTGCAAACGGAACGCTAAGGCCACGCGGCTTCTCGAAGTCCCGCATAGGGACGCGCAGCTGCGGCAAGGCAGTCTCCCTCCCATCCGATAGGGGACAGTCGACCTCCACAGGCTGGGTTCTCTCATCCCTCTACTCGGGGAACGTCACTACCTCCTCTCGCCGCCTCTCCACTGCACTCGTGCGCAGGCGCGGACGGGAGCGCGCACCGAGGAGCTGAGGGAGGGGTCACGAACTCTGACCCCCCCCAAATACCCAAACCCAGAAAGCCCCCCCCCCCCCTTTTTTTCCCCCCCCCCCCCCCCCCCTCCCCCCCCCCCTCCCTCCCCGGGGGCCCCCCCCCCCCCCCCGCCGCCCAGCAGTAGCTGCAACGGGGCTGTCGTCTACGCCCGGCGAAGGACGTAGCTCGGCGGAGAAGCGCCGGTAAGAAGGGACGGGTGAGGAGAAAAGCGGCTGCAGCGGCGCCCGGAGCGGGGACCGTGGGGAGGTCCCTTCCTCCCAGGTGCCAACGGACGCGCCCCCAGCGTTCCCAACAGCCTGCGGCTTCGGCCGGTGGAACCCGCCCTCCGGCAGTGCCGCGGCGCGCTGCTCGGGGTGGGCTGGGAGCGCAGAGAGCGGCCGCAGCAGCGGGACCGAGTGCCCGGGGCTCCGAGAGAGGCCAAGGCCGGAGCCGGAGCTCGGCGCGGGGCCGGGAGCCCGGATAGGGGCTGGGGCGGCGGGCGCGAGAGGGAGTCCCCGAGCGGCTCGGCGCGCACTGCAGCCTCTCCCGCGGCGCCTCTGACCTTTCACCTACAGGAAAAGCTTCCGTCTCGGCGGCGCTGCCGCTTCCCCCGCCTGAGGAAGCCGCGCGCCGCCCCCGGGCCCGGGGCGCCGCTTGGGCTCGAGCGCCGGCGGGATGCTGAGAGGCCGGCCTGGCTGCGAGTGGTCGCGAGCTGAGGCCCGGATCCCTTTCACCGCGAGCCTCTGGCTAGTACTCGTGCTTACACAGGACGGACGGAATAATGCTCTCAACTTTCACGACCGACGGGGTCGGGAGTGGCCGCTGCCTTTGGACCTGTATCTTTTGAGAAATAAAATGGAACGGCCAAGGGTCCTCAGTGCAGTGGGCATGTCCAAGCTTCCAGTAGCTCTTTTGTTAAGAAACTGTACCTCCGACTCCAGCAGATGCCGTTTTACGAATGACAAATGTTGCCAAACCTGTCTCGTAATCTTCACTAAATACGTCAGCTGTTTAAAAAATAATAATAATAACTGGCAAGGAAAAGCAAAAGGACTTGAAATTAAGCCCTTTAGGGATTTTGTGCCTCCGGAACTTGTAAATAGGCCTTCGACTTTGGAGGGATTTTGAACAGTGACTGCTCTGCGGTTGGTTGATACACAATGATTGATTTTAGATTTTACTTGTGTGTCAATTTGGTAGCTCTAAAGGAGATATTTCTATTTATTCTTATTAAAAAGTGGATCGCATAAAATGTAATTTCATCATTCTTTGTAGGGACATCTCAATCTTTTTTTAGGAAATCAAAGGCAGCAGACATTCCCAAAATATCTACTGTTTGTATGTCTGCTACACAAAATATAATTCCTACTCCTGGGGAATAGAAAAGACAAAAGAAACCGCATATGATAAAGGATTAACAGTATATATAATCATGTAACTTTTAAAAGTCATATAGGACCCTCTGCACCCTCTTAAAATCTTTTATGAAGGCCATGGACTCTCGCTAGAAAAATGCACCTTCCCATAAAATTTTGCATACAGTATTAGAAGTAAACAGAAGTTTGTTCTTGAGGCCTTGTTAACAGCCTTAGTATACACAATAAATGCTGTACTCATCTAGAAAGATTGGAATAAAAACAAAAAAATTAGAACTGAGTTTTAAAGGTGGGAAACTTAAATGAGGGAAGAGGAGCTTGGCACTGTATATTGGGGAATAAACAACATTCCAGTTGTCCTAAACAGACGCCCCTCTGGGACTGGTAGGAGACAAAATGAGAAGATGAGGAAGTCAGACTATAAAGGAATGCTACTTTGTGTCTGCAGTGGCAGGCATGTTATAGGGGCTTAGTAAATACTGAAAAAATACCAGGAGAAGGGCTGAAACTTTATTCTTTGACCATTAAAGAGACATTGTTACTTCTGAAACAGGAGACTGAGGATGCATTTCAGTTCTGTAAGCATCCTGAGATCTTGCTGTTTGTCAAAGGTGCTGACACAAAGTTGATTCTTGCCTTCTAGGGGCTTTTCATATGCACAGTTTGTATATATTAAATAATCATCCAGGAAAGTCAGTTCTGGGAGTAGCTGAAATTTGTTGTCTGTTTCACCCCACCAAAATATAAATTTTACAAGGGGAAGTTTGTTTTAATACTCCCTGCTCAATCCCTAACATTTAGAAAAATGCCTGGCTAATAGTAAGCACTCAACAAGTATTTGTTGAATGGAAGAATATTGAATGAATTATTGGATCAATGAGTATGAACATTTTTAAGGCACTTCATAGACATAGGCAAATTTCTTTCTAGAAATATAACAATTTATACTTACATCAACAATATGTAAAGAATGCTCATTTTTCCTCAGTTTTTTGAGTTAAATTTCGTCTTGGAAAACAAACATGTTGATCTAGTGATTCCATAGCATTCATGGTAGAGAAGCCATTAGCAAAGACATGGAAACACGAAGCAACATGGTAAATTCAAGGATACAAGTAGTGCATATGGCTAGAATGTAAGGTTTAACAAATGACACATCACGTCCATGGGCTTCCCTGGTGGCACAGTGGTTAAGAATCCACCTGCCAATGCAGGGGATACGGGTTCAAGCCCTGGTCCGAGAAGATCCCACATGCCATGGAGCAACTAAGCCCGTGCACCACAACTACTGAGCCTGCGCTCTAGAGCCTGCGAGCCACAACTACTGAGCCCGCGCGCCTAGAGCCTGTGCTCCGCAACAAGAGAAGCCACCGCAGTGAGAAGCCCGTGCACCGCAAGGAAGCATAGCCCCTGCTCGACGCAACTAGAGAAAGCCCACGCACAGCAACGGAGACCCAACAGAGCCATAAATAAATAAACAAACAAATACATAAAAGGACACCTCATGTCCTATAGTTAAAGGAAAGGCTTTGAAGAATATTAAGAGCTAAAATTTTATTAAATATATATGTTAGAGCAATCTGACAGCACAATATTAAAGTAGCATTTGGGTGAACATTAATGGACTTTGAGGTCAGGAAACTGGGAGAATGGCAGGAAAGGGACAACAATCAGTGTCAGATCATCAATGAGTAATGAAATTGGAACAGAAATGAATGAATGACAATAAAAGTCACTAAAAACTGTAGTGTAACTGGCTTAAATGAATCTCAGAGGAAGAGTTTTTCTTGTGGGAGAAAATAAGCGGCCTTGTTCAGAAGACTACAACATTAGCAGTGTCCTTGAGATCTACATACAGCACAAGCCAGGAATAGAGATGGAGTTATCCAGAAGAGATCTGTTCAGGACTCTCTTGTCTGATGGCTTGGACCCCCATGAACTGCATGGGAGGCAGCAAGACTTCTGGGAATTTCATGCCAGCAGAAATGCTGCCATCTTGGACTGAAGGGGACAGAGATGGGATGAAATGAATGAAGGCTATTGGATTTCTGGGACTCTACTGGATGGGCAATAGAGCTATTCAGTTTTGAACATGTGTTATCCTTCAAGAAAAGGGAAGAATGACCCCCCAAAGATGGGTCAGAGTTTGGGAGGGCTGCCACTGCCATCATGGACCCAGAGCACACAAGACCTGGGAAGTAACTGTCTCCTTGGTTGGTTCCAGAGAGGTTGAGGGCAGTACTTTTCAATCTAGTGAGAGAGAGTTGAGTAATTAATCTAAATATTGTGTATTGCTTTTAGAACAAGTAATTGAAGGATTTAAGGTTTTAAAAGTAATTGAAAGAAATAATTCAGACAATTTGGCAATTAATATTAATTATAATTACAGAATATTAGTGAATTTATCATAGTATATAATATGATAAAGTCAGAAATAATTTTTGTATTCTTGACTACCTGATACAGAGAAAAAGCAAAAGCCGAAGTCAACCCATTAATCTTACTGGCTCTCAAATCCATTTGAAGACAGTTTTACATTAAAATTCAAATTAATAGAACAAGGAAGAACAATCACAAAATTCTAGAGAAATCTAGCCCTCTGAATGAATGCAGTTATTTTGTCAGCGTTTACAATATACTGCTTTAAAAGTGTGTTAAATGACTACAAGGATGTGGTTTTTTTTTTTACAGGCTGGGTTGCCCTTATTCAGTTAATAAACTACTCCTAATCTATATCAGGTCTGCAGCTTAGGCTTCAGTATCTTTGAAAAGTGAAATTGTTTGGTATTGAATAGTTTGGGTTTTTTTAATAGACGTTTTCAGAATTTATAAAAACACAGTGAATAGTTTTATGAACCCTGTATAAACTTTAGCAGTCTTCAGTAATTGTCAGCACGTGGCCATTCTTGTTTTGTTTATTCCTTCTCACCCCCACCCACACAGCTGGATTATTTTGAAGCAAATCCTAACATATAATTCCATTTTTAAATTCTTCAGTAAATATGTTTTATGGGTATAATTGTAAAAAAGCATCTTTTTACTTTTGGCAGGACACTTGGCAATTAAATCATGGCAACCATAGAAGAAATTGCACATCAAATTATTGAACAACAGATGGCAGAGGTATGTCTAGTTTACCGTTCGTTCACTGCTTCACCAAACTTATTTATACCAAGTGTAGTATATGCTAGGGTTTGGTGGTACAGAGATAAAAGATACCCTTGAATTTAAGTGCACTTTGATCAAGTAAATCAGAAAGAGAAAAATACTGTATGCTAACATATATATATGGAATCTAAAAAAAAAAAAAAATGGTTCTGAAGAATCTAGGGACAGGACAGGAACGAAGACGCAGACGTAGAGAATGGACTTGACATGGAGAGGGGGAAGGGTAAGCTGGGACGAAGTGAGAGAGTGACATTGACATATATACACTACCAAATGTAAAATAGATGGCTAGTGGGAAGCAGCCGCGTAGCACAGGTAGATCAGCCCCGTGCTTTGTGACCACCTAGAGGGGTGGGATGGGGAGGGTGGGAGGGAGACGCAAGAGGGAGGGGATATGGGGATATGTATACGTATAGCTGATTCACTTTGTTATACAGAAACTAACACAGCAAGGTAAAGCAATTATACTCCAATAAAGATGTTAAAAATCCCTAAAAATAAAAAGTTCGCTTTGATCTAGTGAGAGACAGTTGAATAATTGGACAATCATAATAGGATATGATAAGTGCTGTGATAATTCTATAGGGTGTTATGGGAGCACAGAAGAAAAACAACTAATGAAGAGTTGTGGTAGAGTGAGGATCTAGCCAGGGAATGTTTCTGACAAGTGTGGAATCTGAGGTTTAATAGACCAGTAGAAGGACACCCATGTCAATAGATAGGTCTTCATTTTTTTTAAAAGTTATGTCCTAGTAAGAGGTACCATAATCTAAAGGTTTTCAAAGTATCATCTAGGAACTCTTTCAGAGAGTCAGCAAGGTCAAAACCATTCTCATAATAATACTAAAATGTTACAGTATTTGCCTTTTCACTATCATTCTCTCACAAGTATATGGTGCAATTTTCCAGAGGCTGCACGTCATGTGATATTGGATGATGAAATATGTCAACATTTAAAAGGTGTACATAACTCACTGAACCAGTGTTTCCCAAATGACCAATGCACGATGTTACACAATCACTCATGAGTAAAGGATTCACATTGCCGGATAGATTTTAATATATAGTTTCTGATTCCACATTGCAACTAACCTCTAAAAAAGCTATCACTTGTCAAGTTTTGGTGTCATATTAAAGAACAGTTTACACAGTTTGAAGAAACAGTTAAGATATTCTTCCCTCTTTTACCTAGTAAATGTAAGGCTTGATTTTCTTTATATATTTTAACCAAAGCAACATATTGCAGCAGATTGAATGCCCAGGTAGGTATGAGAATCCAGCTTCTATTAAGCCAGATATTAAAGCAGTTTGCAAAAATGTAAATCATTGCCACTCTTCCCATTGATTTTTCTTTTGTTTGGAAAATTATTTATTTTTCATTAAATATGTTACTTATGTTAACATTTAATGGGTTGTTTTATTTATTTTATTTTTAAAATAAATTTATTTTATTATTTATTTTTGGCTGCATTGGGTCGGTCTTCGTTGTTCCATGCGGACTTTCTCTAGTTGCAGGAAGCAGGGCTACTCTTCATTGTGGTGTGCGTGCTTCTCATTGCAGTGGCTTCTCTTGCTGCGGAGCACGGGCTCTAGGTGTGTGGGCTCCAGTAGTTGTGGCTCACGGGCTCTAGAGCACAGGCTCAGTAGTTGTGGCACACGAGCTTAGTTGCTCTGCGGCATGTGGGATCTTCCCAGACCAGGTTTCGAACCCGTGTCCCCTGCATTGGCAGCCGGATTCTTAACCACTGTGCCACCAGGGAAGTCCCTGGGTTATTTTTAAATGAATTAATAAATATTAAAAATATTTTTCTATTTGAATTTCTAATACGGTAAATATCAATAGATACAACCTACATAAACAGAAGTTCTTTGGGCGCTCAGTGACTTTTTTTTTTTTTTTTGGTGTGTGAAGGGGTCCTGAGACCTGAGAACTATTTCCATAATCTATTTTTTTTCCCATAATCTATTTACTGGTCCTTATTGAAGGCCATTTGGATTGCTTCAGTTTCCAATTATAATTATTATGCTGCAGTAAACATACTTTTACCCATCTAAGCAAAGGGTTTCAACCCAATAACAGTTGGACCCTGCATGTACCTGATGCTCGTCTCTAAGAAATAACTGTGAGCCATTAGATTTTTTTTCAGTTTACAATGGATATTTCTGATAGAAATATTCTAAAATAAAATTTACAACAACATAAACTTTACATGATAAAATTATAGATGAACTGATTCAAAGTCACATCTTATAGTTATTGAAAATTGCAGAAATTGTGAGAGAGGAAGATGGAGACTAGACTTGGTAGAAATAACCTATGCAAAATAAAATTGACAACAGTTAAAACTGCAGCCAGAAAAACAGGATATGGTAGAAATAATGGTCGACAAAGGAAACTCAAATTGGCAGCAGCTATAATCAATACCGTCTGCTCTAGACAGTAACTAATTAGTGATTCAGAACTTTGCTGTAAATTTTGCATAGAAAATAGTCTTGATGAAAATAATTTCAGAGAAATAGAAAAAAGTTGGAAACAAATCAGCTTTGCCATTTTAAAATTGAATCAAGGAATTTAATTGGCTTAATGAGTTTATTCTGTAAAATATTTGCCTAGCAACAACAAAAACCGTCAATGCTAGGCTGTTCTTTTTGTTCATGAACTTGCTCTTCCCCAGACTACTCCATCTCAGTAGATGGCAATTCTGTCCTCCCAGTTGGTCAGGCCAAAATTTTATAGTCATCCTCGACTCTTCTTTCCTCATAGTCCATTTCCAATCCATCAACATATCTTGTCAGCTCTCCCTTATAAAATATCCCAGATTTAATCATTTTTCACCACTAGCATGGCTGCTACCCTGATCTCAGCCTATATCTCTGCCCATATACGATACCCAACTGCTGCCAGTATCTGTGCAATAGCATCCTATCTGGTCTCCCTTAATTCTGTTCTTGAACATTCATAGTCTGGTCTTCGCACTAAATCTAGAATGATCCTATTTGCAAAAGATCCTGCCACTTCTCTTCTCTGTAAACCCTTCAGTGGATGGATCTCCATGTCATCCAGTAGGAAATCAGTCATTTTATGGCCTACAAAGTCCTATTCAGTCTGGCCCCTTTTGTCTCTCAGATCCCACCTCCTACCATAAATCTCTCTCTCCCATTCTATTTCACTCACACAGCTCTCGGTGTGCTCTTGCCTCAGATGTATGGAACACACTCTTCCTGCCCCACAGGCTGCTGCTTCTACCTGGGATGCACTTCCCCTAGCTAGTTCTAAGCCTTGGTCTGGTACTTCACTCAGGTCTGTGCAAAAATGTCATCTCCTCATCACTGTCATTCCATCAATGACTCTCACATTATTCTGCTTTATTTTACTTTGTAGCACTTAATACCACCTGACAATATTATTTGCTTATTTGGTTTTTATCTGCCTTTCCTCACTAAAATAAAAGCTTTATGAGAATAAAAATTTTGTTTTGTTTATTGCTGTATCCAAGGACTCAGAACAGTGATTGGCAAATAGAATGTACCCAATATATGTTTGTGTAAATGGAAGGGGAAAAGGAGAGGAAGGGAAGGAATCAAAATAGTGAGATCCATATGTTCTTACTATTGTAACTTTATTTGCACATTTGTTTATTTCTGTAGGATAGGATGTCGAATTAGAATTGGTAGATTTAATGGTGTGTGTATGTGTATTATATTGAACGTATGTATATAATAGTATGCTTTTCTAGTCTAGCTTTGTCTCAAGGTATGAGAAAATTGTGCTTAGAGAAGAAAAAAGATTAAGTTGACTTGATTACTAATGACATGATTGTGTTAGATTGTTACAGAGCAGCAGACTGGCCAGAAAATCCAGATTGTGACAGCACTTGATCATAATACCCAAGGCAAACAGTTCATTCTGACAAATCACAGTGGCTCTACTCCAAGCAAAGTCATTCTGGCCAGGCAAGATTCTACTCCAGGAAAAGTTTTCCTCACAACCCCAGATGCAACAGGTGTCAACCAGTTTATTTTTACAACTCCTGATTTGTCTGCACAACACCTCCAGGTAAATAACTAGAGTTTCTTTTTATCTTACCCTTGAAAAACATAAAAAGCATATCATAAGTGTAAGTCCTGACATTAAGACTTTATGTCCTGCATGTTCAATAGGAAAAAATCTTGCATAAAATTATGTGCTGCCCTTGCCTATGAGCCACTATTCTTTTCCTCAAACATCCTCACATCCATATATTTTGGTGGGTTTTTAGTGGCTCACAGTAAGAGCCAATCTGGCTAGTTTGGGCAGGAAAGGATTTAACAAAGAATGTAGAGAGCTCAAAGAACTGTTAGAAAGGCTGAAGAAACACTTGTAGGTCAGGTTTCCAAGAATAACTACTGGAACATGCTTCAGAACTTCTTCTAAGTGACCTTCTGCATCTGCACAGTTAGGAAACTTCCAAATCAGGAGCATCTATAGAATTCTGTAGCTGCAGTTTCCAGGACCAAGATGCCTGTGCCTTGAACAAGCAGCTGCCAAATCAAGAAGTTGATATTCTAGCTGCCAGCTTTGTCACTTTTGCTTCCTCTTTTGTCAATCAACTACGTCTTCATTGATGTAGCAAGCAGTCTATCATGGTTATGCAGCTGTTTTTACCACTGGTTGCTATGTTTGAATACAAATACAATGAACCCTTAAGTTTGCCTCCAGAGACTTTGAGGAGAATGAATGCCAACTTAAAATTGGGTTCTGTATTTTGTGATGAAAACACTGATCAAAGAAAATCCCTTTTAGGATTGAAAAACTCCAAATACATAAGATACAAAATTATGCCTATATATCCTGATTGGTTCTATTATTCTTCCAATTACATAATTTGTATTATTTTTAGAAACAGCTACGGTAGAAAATGGATAGGATATATAAAGTTATCTTATCAGAAAGACGGAAGTCACTAAAAAAATGTATAACATTATCCATACCTTAATTTCTTTATTTTCTTAATTAACAGACTTGATTTTTTTTTAGAACAGTTTTGTGTTTACAGAAATATTGAGCATTTAGTATAGAGAGTTCCCATATAATCTCCGAACACACAGTTTCTCATATTATTAATATTCTACATTAGTGTGATACAATTGTTATAATTAATGAACTAGTAGTATTTATACATCAACTGCAGTCCATAGCTTTCCCTAATTTTTACTTAATATCCTTTTTTGTTCCAGGATACCATACTACATTTGTCATGTTTTCTTAGACTCTTCTTAGCTGTGACAGTTTCTCAGACTTTCCTTGTATTTGATGATTTTGACAGTTTTGAAGTATAATGGTCAGGTATATTATAGGTTGCCCCATTGTGGGACTTTGATATTCTTTTTTTTTTTTCATGGTTAGACTGGGGTTGTGGGTTTTGGGGAGGAGGATCACAGAGGTTAAGTGCCATTCTCATCATATCATATCAGGGGTACTTACTATCATCATGTTTTATGACTGGTGACATTACCTGGCTTAAGAGGTGATATAAGATTTCTTCACTCTAAAGTTACTCTTTTTCAAAAGACTTTCTCTATTTAAAAATTAAGATGATATTGGTACTTTGCCTACGTTATGGATCATCTCTGAGAGCAATGAAAGAGAAACCAGGTATAGGATAGAATCTCCTGGACCAAAAAGATTTGATTTCTGGTCTGGTGACCAAGATGGGATGTGGGCAAGCCCATTAACCTCTCAGTGTCTCTTCCACCCTTAGGAATAATAGCAGATAAAATATTAGCACCATTTGCAATAGATATGCTGTTAAAGAAAAGAGTGATACTTGTCATAGATGCTTTCAAAGGACATCTAATACCAGAAATTGTTCGTTTATTTGTTTAAGTTTTCATTGAAGACTGATTTTTATGGTGATACAAGAAGAAATGATGCCACTATAACATAGTAAGGGACTGCTATTTTATTTTATTTTTAAATTTTTTTTGGCTGTGCCACTTGGCTTGCAGGACCTTAGTTCCCCTACCCAGGGATTGAACCCGCACGCTTGGCAGTGAAAGTGCGGAGTCATAACCATTAGACTGCCAGGGAATTCCCTGGGACAGGTATTTTAATGACTGTTTAAAGTTTTTAAAATCAGAATTATTCCTGAAGGCATTCACACCCCTAAGAGAAGAAAAAGAGTCAAAGTAGAGGTTTATTTTGTGGGCTGTTTTAAAGCAGGGGAAGATGTTTACTAAATGACGCATTTTTTTGGCTTGAATTTAATTTGTTCACATTTCAAAAGATTGAAAAAAATGACAGAAAGATTGAAGGATAAATCTGAAAGAAGAAACTAGTATTTCTTTGCCAGTATTACATTAGCTGTACCTAGTGATGAGCTCTTAATATAATTTAAAGAGGTTTGGTGATTTGCCCAAGGCCATCCCACCTAGTCCCCACTAACTTGCTGTCATTAACAGACTCCAGAGTCCATGCTCTCAACCTCTACACCTAACTCAAACCTTAGACAGCTCGAAAAGTTTATACCTTTGTATATCAGTCATGTTCCATAGTTATAAGTAAATGCTTTAACATATTTTTTTCTTTATAACTCCTTTTCTATTTAAAAAATTCAGATTTATCTTTTTATGCTGTTATAGCTTATTTTAGTCATGTCATTCCATATGGAAATGTTCTGAGTTATTCAAAGACGAATGTCATGATAGGACTGATAACTGCTGCAGTACTTTAATGTGTTCCATATGAATAATAAATACGTAATGGGTGAGATACAGTAAAAAATGCTCATGTATTTGTGTGTTTAAGACTGTTTACTTTAATGAAATTGTTATGGAACAAATTATCATTGAACAAATTAAAAAGGTATTATTTCTGTCTGTGCTTTTTATAACATGGGAGTCTTAATCTATATGTAAAGAAAATTAAGAATACTTTAATCGATGCATGCCTAATAGAGTTCAAAGTTTTAGAATAACTTTTGAAAAAGAAAGCAAAAAGTAAGATTGACTGAATGTTCTTTTAATTTTTTACATGAGAATATTACTAAGTAACAACAAATTATTGTGTTTTTGTTTATTTGTTTGTTTGGGGGGGTTTTCTTTAGCTCTTAACAGATAATTCTTCCTCCGAACAAGGACCAAATAAGGTTTTTGATCTTTGCGTAGTATGTGGAGACAAAGCATCAGGTAACATTAAAAATAACCTCCTATATGTGTTCTCTTGTTAAAATAACTATCTCATTACCATGTTTCTTCTACTGAAAGTAAAAAGAAAAAGAAGCAGGTTGTTTTTATGATTCATATTTGTAGCCTATGAAATTTAACTGAATTTTCCCCAGAGCTTTTTATTCTCCTAAAGGTTTTTTATTTCAGTGCAGTTTAATGTGATCTTGCAATGACATAAAATGCATATTTCAAAGAGTTATGAAAGACAGTTTCACTTTTTGAAAGTAAACCGAACATGTGGAAATTTTTCTGAATGTGAAACCAGTTTTGTCAAAGGAATTGCTTAAAAATTAGTTGTGATCCTTAATAACATGTATAATTAGGTTGTTAATCTACCTGTTGAGTCCTGTTCTCATTCCAGGAATACAGAGTAACAGATTATTGAGGTGGAAAGCCTCTGGTTAACCTCTGTGTAATGTTCTGCATAGCTGAGCAGGCACTTCTCCAAGCCTATTTCTAGTACTCAGGGTTATGCCATTTTAGTTCCTTCATGCCAGAAATACACACCCATATTTATTCATATAGATTCACAAGTGCCAGTGGGATAAGTTTAAGGGCCCGGCTTGTTTTCTTTAATCTTTTTTTATCTTTTCCATAGCTTCATTAAAAAAACCTCCACTAAAAAAAAAAAAAAAAAAAAACCTCCACTAGAGCTTTTCCAGGAGTATATTCAGTTTGTTAATAGTTGTGCCAAAGAGATGGTTTGTGAAACGATAGGCTTATCAAAGTACAACAGATTTCTCCAGAAATTTAAAAGTGGAACTCACAATGAGGAAAGATTATTAGATTTCAAATACTAACTGACCTTATATTCTTTTTTTGGAGCAAAGTTTTTAGAATAAAATAACTTTTTACAGTATGTAACAGAACTATAATTTGTAAGTGATCTCAGAAGTGAAAATAGTTTTTATATCATGGGGTTATGGGTGATTTTGTTTCTTCTCCTTCCCAAATTTTCCATGCCATTGTTAAGATTACTTTACAAAATTTAAAAACTCATACTGTAATATATTTTATCAGAGAATAAGTTTGTGCCATTCTCTGTTTGGTAATTCCTAAAAAAAATTTTTATGTCATATACTCAGAAATCTCAGTTTCATCTCATGTTTAAAGGGAAGAAATGGGCTTATTTCATTTCAGTGCTGAAATATGTGACTTTTGTGTTTTCTTAAACATTTTGTCTTTAGGGCGTCATTATGGAGCAGTAACTTGTGAAGGCTGCAAAGGATTTTTTAAAAGAAGTATCCGAAAAAATTTAGTTTATTCATGTCGAGGATCAAAGGACTGTATTATTAATAAACACCATCGAAATCGTTGTCAATACTGCAGGTTACAAAGATGTATTGCGTTTGGAATGAAACAAGACTGTATGTATTAGCTTTAAAGGAGAGAATACTTTTTAAGAATTCAGGCACACTCTTAGAAGTGTGTTAAAATTAACATGTTAAAATATGTCAAATATATATGGTTTTTAATTTAAAGTTTTCCAACTAGAAATATAGAAATATGTGAATATGTATGTATTTTTTTATACATTCAACAAATCTTTATTGAGTGACTATATGCCAGGCATGTATTTTTAGTTTGAACATGGTAATAGATACATGTTTAGTTTTTGATTAAACTATCAATACTAAAGTGATTAATAAGGTAATGAAAATAGCTAGTATTGAGTTCTCATTATGCTTTACTCTGTGTATAGCGTATGAATTAACTTATTTGTTCTCACAGCAAAATTCTCAGTAGATGCTGCTGTTATCCATTTTACATTTGAGTGAACAGAGGAAATTTAGTAACTTGCCCAAGGTCACACAACTAATAAGTGGCAGAACTTGGACTTTAATCTTGGCAGTTTATTTTTTCTCAGAAAATGTATATTTAACAGCTACAGTATACCACCTCCTAAGTATCATGAAATAAAATTGCTATAAAATAAATTAAATATATTACCTCTGTTTTATAAATGAAGACTAAGCAATTGAATTGCTTCTCAAAAGTCTCCCTGCCCTTAACTGAAAAAAGATTTAACTTCGGTCTATTTGTGGTTCTCTATTAGTATTGTTTTCAGTTGGTTAAATATTACTTCATTTTTTAATACTCTTATATAGGTAATTAAAGGACTCCTAACTTCAGGTTTCCTTTTTGACAGTGAGCTTTTAAAAAATAGGAGTTCTACATTTCTGCCACGGCTGGGGCAGGGAGAGGAAAGAGAACAAGAGATGCACATTGGCCAGTTTTACTCTTTTGAAGCAACTTTGTTGAACTTGCAAATAATTTCTAAAGATTGATGGTTATCTTTGGAGTTCAGTTACAGTAACCATGTCTCCCATTAGCAGCATTGCTGACCTAAAGCTTACATTTGTAATTGCCTGTAAATTCTGCATTGTGATATAAGTTTGACACATTTTTGTAGCTGTTCAGTGTGAAAGAAAACCCATTGAAGTATCAAGAGAAAAATCTTCCAACTGTGCCGCTTCAACAGAAAAAATCTACATTCGAAAAGACCTTCGAAGCCCATTAGCTGCAACTCCAACTTTTGTAACAGATAGTGAAACTGCAAGGTATAGTAAAAACAACCAAAAACCACATATATTAAGGAGCTGGTAATTTGTTTTTCTTCCCAGTGAAACTAAGGCTAAAATTTGTACTTATTTGTTACAGGTCAGCAGGACTGTTAGATTCAGGAATGTTTGTGAATATTCATCAGTCTGGCCTAAAAACTGAGTCAACTATGCTGATGACACCAGATAAGGTGTGTTTAGTACAATTAATTTAAAGCTTAAATTTTTTTAAGCTTTTAAAATTTTTTCCTTTTCTCCTCCATCAATTTGGCCAATAGATTTGGTCTTAAATATTCCCTGTTACAAATTGCTTTTTTTTTTTTTTAACAAATTATCATCAACGATTTGGTAGTGTCAAATGACAAAACTAAAAGATTTTAGTGATGAGTTTAATGTCCCTTATTTAAGGGAAAACAATCCATGGATTAGCAGATTACAGTGCTCACAAGCAGTGGAACACTCTTCCAGAGGAAATTTAGTCAAGAGTGAGTTTTATAGAGCATTTGAAGCAGCAGTGAGGAAACGGCTTAATTGGCACAGAGGTTGGGGATTCTCTTGTGAATCTATCGAGTCCTGTTGTCTAGAGTAAGGTGAGCTCACTAAAGCTGGAGCAGGAGGATTGTGACTGGTGTATGATAGGTTTCCTTGAAAGGTGTTTCCTTTAAGTGCAAACTGACTTAGGTTTAGGTTTGTGAAGTGGACCAGGTCACTAGAGCAGCCTCCGTTTTGCGAGTCCTGGTAATACAAATTAACTTTATCAGTAGAAATGTTCATTATTCCACTAGAACAATTATAGCTTCAATGTGAAAATGACAAACATTTAAATGTCTTCCAGGTTTCTTTTTTTTAATATATAAATTTATTTATTTTATTTTATTTATTTTATTTTTGGTTGCATTGGGTCTTCACTGCACGCGGGCTTTTCTCTGGTTGTGGTGAGCAGGGGCTACTCTTTGTTGCGAAGCGCAGGCTCCTCATTGTGGTGGCCTCTCTTGTTGCAGAGCATGGGCTCTAGGCGCATGGGCTTTAGTAGTTGTGGCACACGGGCTCAGTAGTTGTGGCTCACGGGCTCTAGAGCGCAGGCTTAGTATTTGTGGCACACGAGCTTAGTTGCTCCGTGGCATGTGGGATCTTTGTGGGCCAGGGATCGAACCCGTGTCCTGTGCATTGGCAGGCAGATTCTTAACCAGTGTGCCACCAGGGAAGCCCTCTTCCAGGTTTCTTTCATCTTGAAATAAAAGTCCTCAGAAATAGAAATGTATAAGTATAAAATTCTTTATATTCCTTTTGTGTTCTCCTACAGATTTTAGTGTTAAAATACTTAAAATATTTCAGGTGAAGAGAAATTCCTAGCACACCTCTCAAAACATTGACTTGAGTCAAAAATAGGAGTAGGGTTGCATGAGCTCTCATATTATGTATCCAGGTCATCTGGGTTCTCTTAGAGAGTTGGAGCAGCTCTTTATTGAGCAAGGCGTCTGAAAGAAAAAAGGTTTGCTTATTTAGATCCAGCATGTAGAGTTTCTCTAGTGTTAAACATTTTTCCTGAAGACAGATTTCAGAGAGACTATGAATAGTGTTTCTCTCAGGCTATAATGTGATCTGGTTTCATATGCCCCATAAGATTATTCAGTCTATATATGGCCAGATTTATGCTGTTATTTGTTGCTTGATACTTTAAGGCACTCTTAATACTTGTGCTCTGGAGTCAAATTTCATCTGCCATTTACTAGCTGCATAACCTTGGGCAAGTTATTTGACCTCTTAGTGCCTCAGTTTCTTTCCTCATCTGTAAAATAAGGGATAATAAGAGTGTCTACCTTACAGGCTGAGCTTTAGCATGTTGTTATTAATTGAGGAGATTTGGTATCTTACCATAAATATACATCGTGAGGAATTACATACAAGATTTCACTTATCCTTAACTACATGGTTTGTGCTTAGAATGGTGGTTACAATTTCATTGACATTACCTCCATTAGGAAAGGAAGAGAACTAAGTTTTGTTGAAAAATTACTATTTGCCCAGACACTGTAGTTTTCTATATGTTTTTATATTAAATTGTATTAACAGTCTTGTGCGGTTAGTTTCTGACGAATGGTCCCAAAACTGTCAAGTTACAATATGAGATCTTTCCACATTAAACATCTAGTTAGATACATAGGTTATGAAATGGAAGAGATTATATAAGTGTTTAAGTTTTAGTTGAAAATAAGAATACCTAAAAATGTTAACTCCTTTTACTCATATATATAAAAGAAGGCTGGAGCAGTGGTTAGGAGCATGGGCTTTCCAGTCAGACAGTCTGACTTCCCATCCTGCCTCCACTGCTTACTGCTGGAGTGATGATGGGTAATTCTTCTTATCAATAATAAAGGGATGATGATTCCTATTTCACAGGGTTGTGAGGATTAAGTAAAAAACATGTAAGTAGCAATCCTGTAAGAAACTCAGTAACTAGTGGATTACTGAGTAAATGATTCTAGGACCATTCATTAATTTGGGGAGAGCACAAAACTTACTTGCCTACCTATTCAGTGAAATCAATTTCGCATAAACTAAAGAATTGATAGAAGAAATGAAGTTCAGGACTTCCCTGGTGGTGCAGTAGTTAAGAATCTGCCTGCCAATGCAGGGGACACGGGTTCGATCCCTGGGGCAGGAAGATCCCACATGCCACGGAGCAACTAAGCCCGGGAGCCACGACTGCTGAGCCTGTGCACTAGAGCCTGCCAGCCACAACTACTGAGCCCATGCGCCACAACTACTGAAGCCCACGCACCCTAGAGCCCACATGCTGCAACTACTGAGCCCATGTGCTGCAACCACTGAAGTCCGTGCTCCTAGAGCCCGTGCACTGCAATGAAGAGTAACCCCCACTCACTGCAACTAGAGATAGCCCCGCACAGCAGTGAAGACCCAACACAGCCCCCAAAAATAAATAAATAATATTTAAATAAAAAAAAAAAAAGAAATGAAATTCAAGGAAACATATCTATCCTCTTAGGATTAATAACACTAAAAACAAAAACCGTAAGGGTATAATGAGGGGACTTTCTCGGTGGTCCAGTGGTAAAGAATCTGCCTTACAATGCAGGGGACACGGGTTCAATCCCTGGTTAGGGAACTAAGATCCCACATGCTATGGGGCAACTAAGCCGCGTGCCACAACTGCTGAGCTCGCACGCCTCAACTAGAGCCCACGTGCCACAAGCTATAGAGCCCACGTGCCCTGGAGCCTGTGCGCCACTACCAGAGAGAGAAGACCCGCATGCTGCAACTAGAGAGAAGCCCGTGCACCACAATGAAGAGCCCGCGTGCCTCAATGAAGATCCCCCATATGCTGCAACTAAGACCCAATAGAGCCAAAAAAGGAAGAAAAAAAAAAAGGCTATAATGAATAATTTTAAATATCTGTGGTCCTATCAATAGGCCATAGAAGGCAACGAAGGGCCTTTCATTAGGTTAGGGTAGAATAATTAGAGCATTTATAAAAGAATAACTAATGAATTGAAGCACATAAAATTTATAAAAATCTGAATTTAAAATGATACTCAGAATTCATCCTTCATCATGAGAGGTTGCTATGGCATTGATTCATTGCTCTAAAAATAGGTAAGTAAAAGGAAGAAAAATCAAGCACTTACCTGCCTTTCCCTGTACAGATTATATTTCTGGGTAGTCAGAGAGTTAAGGATAGAAAGTTTTTTCATAAAAGAATTATAGTTTATATGCATAAAAATACACATTAACAAAAATAAAAGCTGAAGACAAATAGGAAAACGTGCAATGTATAACAAAAGCCCAATATCTTAAATATGTAAAGAGACTTTCCAGCTACACAGTGCCTGATGTTCAATGCATTTAACACAGTGGCTGGTAAAAGTTGGCATCCTAGAAGTCTGTTCAATAATCCACTTTCCTTTTTTTTCTCTTTTCATTAATAAAACATTAATTTTATCCGATATAACTTTAAAGTTTGTATAATAAGTTTTGGAAATTACTGTAATAATATTATCAGAATTTTAATGCTAAAAAGGACTTGAAAGATCATCTAATGTAATGTCCTTTTACAGAGAAAGCAATTGTTACATGGATAGATTAGCCAGTAAGTGCAGTTTTTAGTTTAAGGTAACTTTTGTATAAACATTTCCTAGGAAATGTACCTGATATTTTTAAACTTGTAGTTTCCTCAAGTTACCTCAAAGCTCAGAGCTCTTTGATTTTACTTTTTGGATTTCATTTATCTTAGAGTACTTTTCTTTTGGCATTTCATACTCTAGAATTAGGTATTTCAGATTTAAAAGTTTACTGATAACCAATTTGCAGAATTTTAATTTTTTTTTTTTTTTAAAGGCTGAATCATGTCAGGGAGATTTAAGTACATTGGCAAGTGTGGTTACATCATTAGCAAACCTTGGAAAAACTAAAGATCTTTCTCAAAATAGTAACGAAATGTCTATGATTGAAAGCTTAAGCAATGGTGATACCTCTTTGTGTGAATTTCATCAAGAAATGCAGACTAATGGTGATGTTTCAAGGTAAGGTCTGTTTTGATTATGTGTCCTTTTGCTCAAGTGTCCTTTAGTATTTCTTAAATTATGTTAAATATTATTTATAGAAGTTTCAAAAAACATATTTCTATTAGACTTAGAAAACTTAAGGCATAAGTAAATTTTAATTGAAAAATTTTATTCAATATAAAATGTCCAGCAGGTTACATTGTCAACAGTGAGCCATAAGTGAATAAGATAAGATTAGAAATGTAGTCATAAAATTCAGGAATTTTTTTTTCAATAAAGATGATAATTTGGGTCTGATTTTTCAGATATCTTAGTTGCCAGATTTTATCTTTTGTGTATTTAAAGTTAAATATTTGTCTTTCTAGGCAGTCATGTTCATTTTCCCCACCAATTTCTAGTGATGAAAATAGATTCTAAAAACTTAGTGGAATCAATTACGATTTTAAGTTTACACTTCAGGAAACTCGTATCAGAATTCTACTTTTCCTTCTTTTGGTATTAATACTTAGGATGCAGAAACCAGATTTTTTCAGGCTTTTTTCACACTATTCATCTTCTGAAATATTGAAGAAACTGCATTTAAGAGTCTCAAATAAGTACTTTGTTAAATATGAGATTTTAAAGAGCTGTAGAAGGCATTTCATTGTAAAATATGGGGAGCTATTTTGACTAGTTAATTTGCTAATATTATTTGCCATCCTGATCTCAAATTCTTATAGTTCAGATATAGCTGTGTTACCATAAGTTTTAAAGTATTCTCTGAATTTTTAAACAAAATTAAAACCTAACTTTGTGTTGTGTAGAATACAATAAAGTCAACATAAGTTCTTGCCCTTGGTTTTCTAAATAACTTATGTATGTAAAATAAATGGGCTGATACCTTGTAGTATCAAACGTATAACTTGTAAAATCATATTTTCATACCAAAGCATAAGAATTTTTCTCCCCTTAAATTACATAAGTTTTTTTAAAAGACTTTAATCCTCTGGTAAAATACATTAATATAATAATACAGTTTTTCATACGATATATTTGAAGTTTAATTTGTTGCTTTTGGAGAGAGTGAGTCAAAGACATCACTGAAATAGAATGCTCAGTGATACACCAAAGTTCTATTTTCTAAACAATTTTTAAGGCCTAAATCTTAACTTCAGAATTTTATATAGAATTTTCATTTTATTGTGGAGATTGGCCAAGCTCACAGCTTCTGATGTCTCCTTATAGGGCATTTGACACTCTTGCAAAAGCATTGAATCCTGGAGAGAGCACAGCCTGTCAGAGCTCAGTAGAGGGCATGGAAGGAAACGTACATCTAATTGCTGGAGACTCAAGCATAAATTACATCGAAAAAGAGGGGCCACTTCTCAGCGATTCACATGTAGCTTTCAGGGTATTTCTATATATATGTATATATATATATATTTCATAATTTTTATGTTGGTTACCATTTTGATTTTAATTGTCCTTTCAAAAATCAAAGTATATTTGTTGTGCTTTTAAAGTCAGAAATACCCCTGATAGAATTTGAGACAGCAGCTAAAACATACAAAATAATGGCTCAATAAAACATCCTGTTTATAAATCATAGTCATTATTTCAAATAATGTGATTAAGAGTATAAAAGTTAGCTTTTAGAACATTTAGACATTTTTTTCATTTAGACTCTATTAAATATAGTTTTATTGATGGTGGTATTTTTAACTTAAGTATTGGCATTTGTGCTGTGTTGAATCCACTGGTTTATCCAGCGCCTAGCTGCTACTACTTTAGTGTAAACCAGTTATCTAAGACCCAGATATTCTGCTTTTACCAAGTAACTACAAAGAACACAATTAATTATATATTGCCCCAATTAGCTAGCTCTCAGCTTTATTTTTTTTATTATTTTTTATTTTATTTTATTTTTTTGCGGTACGCGGGCCTCTCACTGTTGTGGCCTCTCCCGCTGCGGAGCACAGGCTCCGGACGTGCAGGCTCAGCGGCCATGGCCCATGGGCCCAGCTGCTCTGTGGCATGTGAGATCTTCACGAACCGGGGCACGAACCCATGTCCCCTGCATCGGCAGGCGGACTCTCAACCACTGCGCCACCAGGGAAGCTCTCAGCTTTATTTTAAGAAGGTTAAAATTATTTAATTCTAACTTCTGTTTTTTAACTTTTTGTACTTTAACCACTTGGAGAAGATACATTTGTAATTTCTTTTTTGCTTCCTTAAATATGTTAATTTATGATGGAAACAATACATGTGGAATACTAGAAACAATGCATGTAGAATATTAGAAAATAACTTTCTGGCATTTGATTTGTCATTCAAATAATATTTGGACCACAGCTATAGATAGGCTGACCATTGAGGCCCTACATTAAGACCCTGCTGTTTTGACCCCTCCATTTTAACCACTCTTTATCTTTGCTCTGCCAGCTCTGAGTACTGTCAGCGAATCATATGCAAGTGATTGCAAGTACTTAGGAGATTTCAATTAGCAATGCATAGCAGTCCTGGAATACCTGAGGGTAGTTGCTCTTAACTTTACTATAGATTATAAATTTCCATGGATTTCTTACAAAAATATGCACAGTTATCAAATAGATATGTGTGCTACTGGCAGAAATAATGAACACAAAATAAATCTAACACTGGCCAGAACTGCATATGATAAAATTTATTCTTGTAAAATTTGACTTGTAGAAATGGCCCAGAGAAACCTCACAGTGACTTAAATAATTCTGTAATTTGATATAGGCAATAAAACATATCAGTGAAACCAGTCTTTATGGAACATTTCACCAAAGATAATTTACATGGAAAAAATTAGAAATGTTTTACTTGCACTTTACAAGAAAAAAATTTATGGGGGCTGTAAGAACAGGCAGTGGGAATAATCAGTGTCATTCTTTAAAAATTTGTTTTGGACAGGTGAATTGGGGAAATTAGAACTTTTTTTTCCCTTCTAGAATTGGTTTTTTTCATTCTGTCTTTGACCCACCATACTCTGGGTATCCTCAGAATCAGCACTATGAAGTTTCTTGCTCTCCTGGAAAGGACAGCTCCTTTCTTCTCTGATTCTTATTTACAGCCTCTTGAGTTTTACTTTTCAGTGAGTTCCCAGCCTGGTACTGTCATGATTAGTTCTCTCACTGAGATTTTATTGTCATGAGTTTCAAGCCCTGATATCTATAATCAAAAATTCAGTCCTCTCAATTGCTGAACTAACTAGCATTTTGTTTCTCTCTGGCATTTTTGTGTACAGTGCAGTTTGCACCTGCTTTCATGCACATTCTTTCATTTGAGCCTCACCACGGTCTGTTGAGAAGCTTTGGATTTTTATTGTCGTTTTGTAAATGAGAAGAGGTTTGGAGGCTTTCGTTGTCTTATTGAAAGCATTCCAGACATTAAGAAGAAATAGTCTAATATGTAACTTGCATTTTGATTCTGAAGAATCTAGAACAATAGTAATATTTAACATTTTTATTAAACTTTAGTTTCTGGTGTGATTTCATATACTTTATTCCACTTGATTTTTTTAAATTTCCTATACAAATAATCAAGGTGGATAGAATTACCATTTAAAAATAAGCATATGAGACAGAGGTAGGTATTTCTAAAACTGTTCCTCTCTGATGTTCATTATCTCAATATTAGAATCACAATCCTTCTAGTCACCATGTTTGATGTTTGGGAGACATTATCATTCTCCCCAAACCTCACTACCTTCCATTCCATGACAGAATCCTAACCATTCTATTGTTTGAATTTCTCACTTCCTCTTCATTTTTACTGCCATATTTCATTCCTTTACAAATTTTTTACTTAAACTGTTAACAGTAATTAACCTTTGCTTCCAGTCTCCTCATCTTGTCCTGTGCACTGGTAGCAGAGTGATATTTGTTAAATAAACAATCCAGTTATGCTTCTGTGCTGCCTAAAATTCTTCAGTAGTTTTCCATTGCCCATCGTTTCTCAGACATGCCCGCCCCTTTCTTGGCCCTCTCTATAGCTCATTAAGTTTCCATTTTATTCCTCTGTTGAGACTACAACACCTAGCTTAGTGGATCACAGTGAAAGATGCAGTAATATGGTTGCTGAATTACTATGTAATCCAGGGTCACACAGCTAATTAATGACAAGTTGAAAGTATTATAGAATCCAGGTCTGCTAATTCAAGTCAAATGATTTTTTATTTTATTTATTTATTTATTTTTATTTATTTATTTATTTAGGCTGCTTTGGGTCTTTGTTGCTGCGTGGGGGCTTTCTCTAGTTGTGGCGAGTGGGGGCTACTCTTCGATGCAGTGCACGGGCTTCTCATTGCAGTGGTTTCTCTTGTTGCGGAGCACAGGCTCTAGGCGCGTGGGCTTCAGTAGTTTTGGCATGTGAGCTCAGTAGTTGTGGCTTGCAGGCTCTAGAGCACAGCCTCAGTAGTTGTGGCACACGGGCTTAGTTGCTCCGCAGCATGTGGATCTTCCAGACCAGGGCTCAAACCCATGTCCCATGCACTGGCAGGCGGATTCTTAACCACTGCACCACCAGGGAAGTCCCCAGATAGCTTTTTAGAAGCTGTATCATTCAGCCTGTTTTCAGAACTGCTAGAAAGGTAATTGCAGGCAAGTAATTACTTCTAAAATAGGTAGCCAAGTTTAGTTCATGTCAACACTCTTTCTAAAAGTCATCTTAATATAATAAATGTGCATAATTTGAAAAATGTGTTTAATTCAATTTATAAACCTGAAAATCCACAGGCATTTTTGGGAAACTTTAACACCTTTGTAGTAGAAATTTACCTTCTCTGTACAGAGGAAGAAATCTTTGTCTTTTCAGTCTAAAAGACCTGTTGAATGAATTGTTTCTTCAGCTAGCATTGGCTTTCTGATTGATATTGCTAGAGGTATATCTTGCTTTAAGAAAATTAAGTATGTAAAATAGATAAATTACAAGCCATTTCCTCTCTATATAAAATAATACAACATGGCAGTCTTGAATAATGAATTCTTCTAGTATATATTGCAAGTGGTTTCAGTTTTATGATAGAGCAACAGAGACTTTGCAACGTTGTCACCACTGTTGTGTAAATCAGGGTGCATCTGTACTTTTAGCGCTTATATCCAGTTTTTACATATTATAAGTATTTCATTTGTTTAAAAGTGATTTTAAACTACTTAGCAAAGGGTAATCTTGTTTTTGCATCTTATTCCTCCCCCCCTTAAAACTAGTAATCTTTGGTAATCCCCGACTTTTCAGGCTTTTTTTCCCCTACTCACCTTAGACAGTCCTGAAAATGTATGATAGTTCCCAATTTGTTTTTCATATACTTATGTGCAGAAACCGTTGCATCCTAATAATTATATTTATCATGCTTAATATCTGCTTACCTACAGTTCTTTTAAGAATTGTCTTAAGTAATGTTATTTTAATTTACTGCTCCAGTAAACATTTCTTAAACATTTAAAAAATTATCTTTTCACACATGGAATTTCAACTGTCAGTTGCCCTGTTGTTTTATTACTTGACACCATTTATAAGATAAACCATTTATGGCTAATATTGAACAAAGGAAGTTAATATTTTTTGCATTTTTATATAACATTTCCAGAGAACTTTGATATCATTTTGATGAAAACCTTTGATCTGTTTGGCATCGTAGACACCTTTGAGAATCTGATAAAAGCTATATATGCCTTCCCCAGAAAAATACATATGGACGTATCCACCCATCCCACTATAGAGGTAGCCACTGTTAACTGTGTGGTGTATCTCCTCCTGTCACATATATATAATATAATACATATAAAATGTATATGTATATACACATACTCTCTTCTTAACATAAATTGGGTCATCTACATATTATTTTGCTGTTTTTTTCTACGTAGATGTCTGTGAAATGTTTTTCCTATTCTATCTCAGTTTATCTTACTAATTTTAATGCCTACAGGGTACCTTATAGCATGGATTATTCTTTTTCTTAGAGATAGAAGATTGGGTTATTGCCAGCATTTAATTTCTCTGTTAAGAGTGGTGCTGAAATGGACATCCTTATATGTGCTTTTTTTGTGGATGTATGCAAGTATCTTTTTGGAATAGAGATTTAGAAGTGGCACGGTTAGGTCATAGGATAAACTCAATTTTAAAATTTTGATAGATACAGCCAAATTGCCCTTCACTTTACCAATACTCCGAAGTATGTGTTTCCCTGTATCATCACCTATGCTTGATATTATTGATCATTTTAATAATTTTAAAATAGAAAGGAAGTTTCTTATGGATGAAATTACATTTCATTTATAGCAATAAAAGTTCTCTTTAACAAGATTTTCAAAAATGCTTTTAGAAGTATTTTGATGTAGGATATTTATTTCCAACACATTTAAAATAATTACCTACGGTCTGCAGTACAGACTGATAGATAGCCTGTGAGCATTATGGCCACAGACACATTTTGTTTTACCTGTAGATTAAATGGGGAGATTTTACAAAGAAGCTGCTCTTTGAAAAATTGAAAGAGCTGGTAGTACTGAGCCCAAATTCCCATAAGTTTTCAGTGTGTTGAATTCAAGTCACAGTCATGCCCTTTATCTGGGAATATGCACTTTCCAAATGGCATCAGCAGGCTCACTTCACTCATTATTCTCCTGACCCTGTAAGCATTTGAATTTGTTATCCCCGTAGCCTAAATGAAAGGGACATTTAACATAAAGGATTGCTCCTTAAACTGAATTTGTTGTATATCACTGTTAATGAAGGGAGGGAAGGAAAAGACATGTTATTAGACCAAGACAAAAAATAAATTTTAAAAAACAACCAGATGTCATGGTTGGTATTTGTTAAGTGGAATTCTGCTTTATCTGAATTTGCTTTGTTAGAAACTGTGGTCTTCTCATTTATTCTAAATCCTATTTTTAGCTGTAAAATCTAGTGACTTGGATTATTTCAAGATTTGCCTTTGGGTTAATATATTAGTTATTTGATATGTTTACATTTAAGTTTTTCAAAGAAATGATGATTTAGAATTGTCCGACGTAAGATAACTTACCTCAGTCCCTGTTCGCACTAGCTCACCATGCCATCTCCTATGCCTGAGTACCTGAATGTGCACTACATTGGGGAGTCTGCCTCCAGACTGCTGTTCTTATCAATGCACTGGGCACTTTCGATTCCTTCCTTCCAGGCTCTAGGGTAAGTGTCTTGAAGTCCTTGAATATAAGTGTGATTTTCTAGTACAGACATACATTAGGCAAGAACTTTTATTTTGGGAGGATTTGATTAAAGGGGGGGGGGAAATTATATAATATTATAACTTGAAATTTTGTCATTTATATGATGAATCATGGCAGGTGGTATTTACTGTGTATTATTTTTATGTGGAAGATTATCTGAACTTCATAATTTGACTAAGTTAATAATTTGAATGAAGTAAATGCAGTGGAGCTGATAAATCATGGCCAGCATTTGTAATAGGCCATCTTTTTTTTTTTTTTTTTTTTTTTTTTTTTTGCGGTACGCGGG